CATAGCAAAGGAAAATCGAAATGGCACCCAACACCCAGATGAATTGTGGGTAAAGATTAAGACGCTTCTCAACACCGAATAACGAATATAACAGATCGATAATGAAAAGTAACGTTATGAATGAAAGCGTCGTACTGTAGAGTATCCATTCAGTGAGATTGCCTAAAGTGGTGAAATAACGAAACCTCTGGACAAGTATTGCAATAACTTCCTTAGTGAACTGGACAAATATAAGTAAAAATACTATTGGATACATAAAAAAATCTCCCAATCCTTCATCACCGTTCTGCATGAATCAGATTAAGAAAGCTGTAAACGTGACAACAAAGACAAAATAGAACATAAAGTTAAAGTAGAACACTAAGCGCCCGAAAGAAGATCATTTCTTATTCAGCAAGACCTGTGTCAAAGGATGATCGAGTAATTCTCTACGTTCGTGTTTCACCATGGTGCTCGGTCCAAAGAAACGGCTTTCTCTCAGGCAAATGGTGTGAGTAGGACTGGGGTCTAGGAAACGGAGGTTGCAAGTAATGGTAAAATTTGGATCATCGGAACTTTCTGTCTCTGATCGATCAATGCAGTAATCCATGACCAGCTGTGCACTCTCCGGGAAGTGTTTTATGAGAAGCTTCATGGGGGTAAGGCCCTTCTTATCCTTGTGTTCCATTATTTCCATCCATCTGTTCAGAAGCAATAAAACAGAGTCAGAGTCAAATATTTCCCGCTCCGGCCGACCAAACTCAATCAATCATGTGACCCCTAAGTCAAACAAATCTTGAAATTGTGCCTTAACCTAAACAGATTTTCTTTCGGTTGTCCAAGGATGGAAGCTCAAGATGGCTCATGAAGAGGTTTATCCTAAAATACTAATTATTTATGAATGGACACTAAAACACTTTTCGTGTGTTTCCCTAACAAAACGTATCAAAAAATCTCCAGCTATAACAAAGTGCAGGAGATCCTGGGTGGTATTTATCTGAGATTTGTATTAAAGCTTGGCAATTCGATTGAGAAAAAGGGGGAACCGAACTAAGTTTTGGGTGAAGCTTACATAAGGTTAAACATAACTGTGTTTCTGAGAGGCTTTGGCTCTCTGTGTCAGAAAAATGATCACGACTGCTTTTTGAGAAAGAGTGGAGAATTTCCATTGATATAAGAAAACAGAGGAAAGAATGGCACTAAAGCTACATTCCATCTAAGGCTTGGTTTTGAATTTTTTATTTTACCATTTTTAGCTATCTTAGAAGCAAAGAAAACGTCTTAATCGTAGCGCCAAAACGAAGAGGAGACCGTTGTTTTCATCGCCCAGCTTGCCCAACTTTCGTAATGCTCTTCTCTACTCTTACTTTTCGGTTGCCATGTGCAAGTCAAGTCTCCTACTTCCTGCAATTAAAACTTTGAATTTAAATGGTAGATACCAGTTCAGTCTGGGGTAACCGTTCATACCTTTTATGCTTTATCATTGCAAACACAACTTCGCTCTTTCCTGCCTTAACGGCGGCCTCAAAACACGTTACACCATCTTTGTTACAAACATTCAAACTTGCCCCGTGATCCATTAGCAGGTTGACAACGCTCACATGTCCTCTCCTACA